GGAAGAAAGGCAGCGGGTGAAGGGGAAAGATATGGTAATTAAGCTTATTCCACTTTCGCCAAGAACCACTGTTTGTGGATGCCAGAGAACATAATTCTCTACATGGGAAACATTTTAAGGCAATGCCTTTCCTGTTTTGCCAACACTTTCCGTCCAGCAGCAACTTTTTTCTTATGCCTTTTTGCCCATTGCTCATATTTAATGCAATGATATGCATTTCAAAAAAGTTACTGATAAGTAGACATGTTCTGCATTTATTGTTTTTGCAACCTTTAGTTTTAGATGAAACCCCAAAATCTACTTTCTGTGTGACGAGAGCCTTGACGGCTGCATTCCCATGGAAACCACGCTTCTCCATTATGTCCATGTAAATTGAATATTATAAATATATACAGTTTTATTGCTATTTTCCAAGCTACTGTAGCTGTCATAATTTGCAGGACCTCCTTGTGTGTGGCCGTGGTTTGTTTTTTTTACACTGTAATGCAGTGGCGGGCCGTGCATTTTATACCTGGGCCTTCACTGCTGTCCTGCAGCTGAAACACAGCTACGGTTATTATTTGTTTTGTGTGAAAATGAAGCCAACACCTGTAGATACACTATCTGCCGAGAGTGCGTCTCCTCTCTGCTCTGACTGCTGCGCGAGGCTTCTGTGGGCGGCGGCGGAGGGGCTCACGGCAGCACCCGCTGCTCGTTCACGACAGTGTAAAGCGTACGTGCTTTAATGTCAAAACACCAGAAAATTCTCCAATAACACCAGAACAAGTCGCTAGATTTGTCACTAGTAGCTTTTGACAAAAAAAGTCGCCATGAGGGTTTTGAAAGTCACCAGATTTAGCGTGAAAGTCGCCAAGTTGCCAACACAGGCACCGGCTAAATATGTCCCCAGAGCAACATTGGACGTAACAATGGTTCCTATCACATATTAAACCAAACAAAAATCTTCATTAAAAACAAGTTGTAGAAATAATAATATATAAACAAGCATATTAAAGCTACTGCAGATGTAAAAACAAACACATTTAACTTACCAGAGCTGCTGTTCACTATTTAAAGACAAAGTCCATCCTCCTTTCTTTGTTAATAAAGAGTTTATAATCTCACGTTGTTCAGTACATCCGTGCGTTTTAGTTCCAGTAAGAAGTCCTTCTCGATTCATGGACGCCAGTGAAGACAGTCGAGCCGCCCCAGTTGTATTTCTTGAATACATATTAATGCGTTTGAGGGCTGAAAATGTCCGCTCGACAGAGGCAGCAGATATTGGCATTGTCACCGCCCAACATGTCACGCTAGCCCACTGACCAATCACGTACTTGTAGGCCAGCTAGCAGGCTCTGGCACGTCAAAGAATACGCCCAACATGTCAAACTAAAGATCTGATTGGTTGAAGACTATGACAATCAACAATATCGTCCCCATTCACTTAAAGTGCACATGGATTCACTTGTGAGTCTGCAGGCCTGGGTCTCTGTTCTTACCTAGAGACACAGAGGTGAAATCTGATTGGATAAAAGCTCTACTTAAAACAAGCTGCACTGGAAGCAGAGCAACTGAGGAAGACAGTAGCTGTGCAATGAGAAAATAAGATAATGGTAAATACATGTAGTGTATTTAAGAAAAATCATTAAATTATAAAATAGCTATAACTTTGTGATTCTGTTTAGGCCAGCAGAGAAAGCCTTGCTGGCCCTGACGGCCCACCACTGCTGTAATGAATTGCTGTAAATTCACGTTGGATTTACAACTGTATCTTACAGTATTTCATAATAACTAACATACAGTTAAATATTCATCCTTCCCATGTACATTAACAGTTAATGCCGTCGGTTAACCATAGCGGCAGATGACTAATTTATCAGCATAATAAAGTATTTTCTGTGAAGTGGTGGAAATACCCCTCTTTACAAGTTTAGTGAGTCACAATCTATCAACATCGTACTGATGATTATAGGGTAATGTTTCTGCTATATGCAGTAGCGGGCCGTGCATTTTATACCTGGGCCTTCAGTGCTGTCCTACTACAGTTGAACCACCTCCTAATAACCTCAATATCACGCCACAGCTACGGTTATTATTTGTTTCTAGGGGTGTAACAATACACGTATTCGTATTAAACCGTTCGATACGAGGCTCACGGTTCGGTACACATTACGAACCGAACAATACGTTTGAATAATACTCGTGCATTTGGAAAATGCAGAAGCTTAAATTGTGGGAAATGTTCTCTCGGTGGAGCCACTGCACTCAACATGGCAACCGACCCAACCTAACAGACAACTGCTGTCTGACACGCCCACCACGGAAGAACAACATTGTACTCTGGTGAGGGACGTGTGTTCTGGGAGGCCCGCTACGCTAAACTAGCTTAGCAGGAAAACAACAGCAGCACACAAGCTGAAAAGTCACCCCACAGCGTTTAGCTGTTCCCTGCTCATTCAAACAGGGCTAAAGCAATCGCCACACAATCTCCACTTCTCCAGACCATAGTTCCTGCTTTGTTAAAGAAAACAAAAGCCCAAACAGTAAACCAAATGTCCAAGCACCTGCTAGTGCTCTGATAACAGACGGCCAAACCGAGAATTTTGTCAACACCCCTATTTGTTTTGTGTAAAAATGAAGCTCAACACCTACAAATACACTAACTGCAGAGTGCAGATACATGAATACGTTTATGATGGGATGGTGCGTCATTAACGGACAATGCATATAGTCAAAATCAATCTAGCAACATTGCGGCGCTAAAACACTTATTCCACCACACACTGAAGAGCACGGACCATTCAAATATTATTCACATCAGAGGGAACAATATTAACCATATCATAAAAACGACACCATAGACAAATGAACACAGAGCATTACAGTGTTCATTTGTACTGCAGATGTAACACAAAAGCACTTCACTTACCACAGCTGCTGTTCACTTAAAGACAAAGTCCATCCTCCTTTCTTTGTTAATAAATAGTTTGACATAGTTGTACGTACTTCTTGATTCATGGATGCCAGTGATGAGAGTGAAGTCTCCCCAGTTGTATTTCTTGAGTAGTTTTAATGCGTTTGAGGGCTGAAAATGTCCACTCGACAGAGGCAGCAGATATTGGGATTGTCACCACCCAACATGTCACGCTATCCCACTGACCGATCACGTACTTGTAGGCCAGCTACAAGCTCTGACATGTCAAAGAATACGCCCAACATGTCAAACTAAAGATCTGATTGGTTGAAGACTATGACGATAAACAATATCATCCCTATTTACTTAAACTTCTAGGGGGCCTCGGGCCTCTCTTCTTACCTAGAGACACAGGGGTGAAATCTGATTGGATAAAAGCTTAAAACAAGCAATAATTTGGCAATATTGTATTGTATATGAATTCTTGTATTTTCTACTTTTTTGTTGTTCGAATTAAGTGCAAAAGTAGCAGATGTTATTACCCTTCGTAACTTTACGGTAACTTGCTGACATACACTGTAAAATCACTGTAAAACCAAGTTATTCTAATATCCTATACTGTAATTCAATATACGGTAAGATACTATTAAAATAAATTCCAGCCGTCTCTGCTGCCAGTATTTTACTGGTATTTTACAATATTTTACACGTTTAGAGTGTAGGTTGGAAAAACCATTGACATCAACAGGCTTGCTTTAACTTCATACAAATCTTAGAAACACACTGCTCCTCTCTGTTGAATCCCCTTCTCTTCTCCCCTTCCCCCTCCGGTCCTCCTCCTTCAGGCGGATAGAGTGACAGATCTGTCACGTCGGCACCTGGTCGTACACAAGTGTTAATGTCCCCACCAAAGCCGAGAATCACTCTGTGTGTGAATAAATATATATATACTGTATATAGGGACAGACAAAGAAAGTGTGCCTCAGAAATTCATACAGATTTTATATATCGTCACATGATAACTCCTAGAAAAGCTAGGTTTTTAAAGGAATTGACAGGGTGAAGGAGATTCAGCGAACATTGTGTGTATTCCTGTGTGTGTGTTGTATGGATGTACCCTGTCCCCTGTCACTCAGAAACAACAAGCCAATCATTCCTTGGTTCTAAAATAAGCTCTCCTCCCCCCTTCCGTCCTCTCTCCCCCTCACATGTGCTCCTCTCGTCAGCACCTCTCACCTTCAGAGTGACACGAGATGACTGAGGTAGGGGCTGTTGGACTGCACACCAGGATGCATGTCGTACACTTGTCACCTTTCAGACGATAAAAAAAATCATCTGCATCTTAGAAACCCAAAGTAAATGGGGACACACTTCATGATGGTCTCATATAATTGAATACCAGAATCTAGTCTGCTGAATTCAAGATGGCTTATCTTATACCATTGTTTTGAGCTCCTTTGTATCGAGATAATGGGATTCGTAGGCTGACACACAAAGTAAATGCTTATATTCTGGATAGAGTCCCCTAACTACCTTGAGAGTGTTTTCAGGAGTTCTAGACCTCCTCAGAATTCCACTTGTAGTTTTTCATCATCTTTCTATTGCACAGTCATGATATAAAGATACAACACTGTATTGTTTTGGGTAGCTGATAACGTTTGTTTCCTGTATTACATTATTATTGTACTGCTAAAGGCTCTTTAGTATGAGCTATTGCAAGAGATGAGGTGCAGCACTTGTCTTGTTTTCTTTTCAGAATGTATTTGGGGTATGAGGTACAGAACAAATGTGTCTCTGTTTTGTCTTGTGTTCTTAGAGTTTTTAGTTTGTGTGCAAAGCCTCAGTGACAGCAAACAGCTTTCTGAAAAATGATCTGCATATTCTTTCCGCAACGTAGTATGACTCTGTTGTTGGGGTGGTGGTGGGGGTTCACACAGCTCAACCACCTGTTGTTACACAAATGTGCACACTCTCACACATGTCCGCACCATCGCAACCACAGCCATATTCACTCCACACCCTGCACTTTGTGACTAGTCAATTCAGCAGAGTTTTAGGTATTAGTTTGCATGGCCGTTTGCAACCCCAGTCTTTCACTGCTTTATCACACACAGACACATACACATTCTCAATACCACAAGCACATACGCGACTGCCAACACTTAAACATACTGTCCTTCATTCTTTGTTTTACAAGAAAATATTAAGCTTTGTACACTCTCACACACCTTGATAAAAATAAAAAAACCTAACGAAATCGTTTAAATTAGTAAGATATTGATGACATATGAACATTTAACATGAATAGATATATTTTATTTGGCTCAAAAAGGTCACAGAACATGTTAATGTCCTCAGGCAAAGAGCGTGCTGATATAGCGCGTGCTTGCAAAGAAAAGCTTTTAGGTCAAGTTCAGGGTTAGCTGTTGCATACCTGACCCAGTCAAAAGACCAGAAGCAGGTGCTTTAGGGTTTTTAAGTGCGAAGGGTCACACAGCCCTGTATGTACACATGTCTCCTCCCGCCCGCCTTTCCCTCGTTATGTACAGAGCCACCATGTACAGTTACGTCTGTGTCACACAAGGGAAGATGTACTTCAGCCTGACATCCAAACAGCTGCATCAAAAAAACGTCTGTCGAGCCAGACGTAGAAGATGTAGATTAGTCCATCATCCATCATTCTCCCACAGCTTTAACCTTGCCGGTCCATAACTGTCACTGGGACGTCTGCCATGGTCTCTTATGGCCATGGTGTCACCATGTCAATATATGACTGGCTCCTGGTGTTGTGTGTAATAGTTTGTTTTCAAGCCTGAGTGGTGAAAGGGCCCTGTCTGTAGTGCAATTTACTAGATGGCTCACACGCTTGTTATTCCAATGACTGGATTGAGAACACCACCAGGCATGTAATGATAACAAATTGATCTGACAAAAGGAATTTAGTCGATCAAAATGTGTTCTATAAAATAAGTTCAAAAGTAGTGCTCAGTAACTCCATCCAAAGCAGGCAAGATCAATGAGGCAACAAAGTTCTGTGTGATAATAATAGTAACTGCTTCAGGGCGTCCTGCCAGGTGTTGAAGTGCTTGCTTGGGGTGCCTGGGCCAGCCCAGTTTCTTCCCAATCCATATTCAGTTCCAGTTCAGTCACTGGGTTACATCGTTTGAACCCCTTATCCCAAACTGCAGGAAGTCTCTCTTTTAGTGGCCACTGCAGCTGCACATGCACATCTTAGAGGAGATACTTGAGACATAAGAACTTGGTAAAAATATTCCCTTCAGTTAAAGGAGAAAACTATTTTGTCCACAGAGGCAATTGCATGATCTGTCTCTCCTCTTTGTTTGTCCACAATTCAGCCTGATGCTTGTTCAGCACATGGATGATTCATTCGTAGAACTTTCTGAACCAAAAGAAACTTACACCCATTCCAGGGTGTCATTTGGTTTTTCTTTTGACAACCCTAGATGTCTAGAGTCAAATTCAGCCCATGTGGGCAGTGACTTGTGAGGCACCACCTCCCGGCTGGCTACCTGCCAGTCCTAAAGTCCGGGAGTTAAACAAGAAGCCCTGCTGTCCTCCACTGAGTACACCCAGACCGTCCGTTAGAGTCCCACTGGGAGACGAGCCAAGGAAGGCACTCTGATGATTGGCAGCGGCAGCGGCGGCCATTTTATCAGGGCTGGCTGCGAGGCGTGGTGAGGGAGGGAATGTGTAACCGTACAGGCTGTAAGGTGGTGTGTTAAGACGAAGCCCAGCGTAACCCTGCGGGGTGGGGTTGGATAGATAGCCAAGTTGAGAAGCAGGGAGAGGCAGAGCGCAGAACCCTTCACCTTCGTAAGCTGATGGACCTCTGGGAGGGGGGAATGACTCCGGGGGGTTGCTATAGCGATGGAGAGGGTGTGTGGGTCGGCTGCAGGTGTAGTCAGGCGGGCTGAGAGGGCAAACCTGGAAAGATGAGGAGCACGGGGACGTGGAGAGCAGGTGAGAAGACGTTCCGATTGCACCATGAGCTCCTGGGATTCCTATAAAAACAGAATCAGAAAGATTGAAAAATGAAACCTATATCTGCTTAAATTGTATTGTATCTTGGTACAATACAAACCTTACTAGGGATGTAAGGTAACTTTACATCAAATGATTCCAATGAGGTGTGCGGGTCTAAAATTTTGGAGAAAGAGTGCAAGGGTTTTGGATCAGTGCTGAGTTATTTATACTATATTTATCCCAGTAAGGGGGACATTTGACCTATCCCTGTATATAGGGAGCAGTGGGCTGCCTATGACAGGCGCCCGGGGAGCCATTAGGGTTCAGTGTCTTGCTCAGGGACACATGACACATCCCACCCAAGGATCAAACCGTCGACCTTGCGGTTACCAGACAACCCTCGTCTTACTGACTCTTAACCCAGTGAGCCACGGTCGCCCATAAAACGTCCCAAAACATCACCTATGATTATAGGTAGAGTTGTGGCAAGGCGAATCATTTCAATGTGAGACTGTCAGAAGCACATAAGAAACGTTTTAGCAAAACCTCTTTGGTAGGAGGTTGAGGTGGGAGGTAGGGAGACGTTGGCCCAATCCCAATGTCCCCCTAAAGCCTCAAACCCTGAACCCTCAAGGACTTACTAACCTCACCTGATAGGTGGTTGAGTGTGAGAGACTGTGAGGGCTTGAAATGGTGTAAATAGGAATGGGACAGCACTTTGCTGCAACATATCATGTTACTTTGACAACGTCCACAAATATGATGTATAATTATGGGTATTTATTTTATACTTTCTACTCCCTGATTTGAACGTCTTCCTGGCTCTTTCCTCACAAGATGAGAGGTATCTTCAGATAATATATTTACTTGTTTTTGTTAAAACAGCATCAATGACAAAATCAAATATTTGATGAATAAATAAATATCTTCTGATTTCATGTTTATTTATTTGTTCCATCTTTAACCCTTAATGTTTCTGTGTACATGTAATATTCCAGGCTGAACACACGTGAGCCGTCCTCTTTATTTACTTTTTTTTACGTCCCCATGCGTCCACTGGTTACCCCGTGTTTAACGTCACATTGCAATGATTTGTGGGTAATTCCCTTAGGCTAAGTCAGCATCGTATGCTGACTTACGGAAAGGGTTCATAAAGAGCTCAAAATGTCTGAGAGAGACTCAAACACTCGATGATTTGACAGTGGGACAGCCCTGAACCCTCACGGACTTTACGGGACCGCGCCTCAAAGTCCTCGAGTCCGTGAGGGGGGAGATTGGGATTGGGCCAAAGACTGTGCCATTTCGGCTCGATAACTTGATTTATTCTCAAAATCCAGAAAACTCCTATTAGTTAACTCTACCTTGTTTGGTAATGCCTGGGATGTCCTCAAATGTGAGTGTTCGCAGAGATGGACGCCAAAATGCATAAGACTCAACCAAAGCCTCCAGACCCATCCTGTAAAACAGACATAACTGCACAAGTTAACACACATACATCAACATCACTGAACATCCTTGTCTTTCACTTTCTTTAAGGCTGACCCACACTAAAAGATTTTTCAAATCCTAACAGATGTGAGGGACCCCACACATAGCAGCATGTAATGATAAGCTTAACGCTTTTGTTCCTATAGGGTGTGGAGAGCAATGATTTGATCTCTTTTGAAATCTGTGCGACCAGGATGTACTTTAGAGCAAATACTCAAAAAATACCTCACACCACAGAAAATCTGGCAAGATCATCTTTAGAACCATTGGAATATGGTGACTTTGCTGAGCGTTCTTGGAAGGGGAGAATCTGGCCCTGAATCGGCTTGATTCTCTACCCCGCGTTAGTCACTGATGCAGCTGCAGCCGCTCTCTGCCAGCATGCCTCACATTACGCCAACCACCTGGCGGCTATCTTAGTCGCCCGTGGGGCCTCGTTTGCCATCTCCATGGAGACCGCAGGTAATGAGGGGCATAAACGCCACGTTGCGATTGGCTGCTGCAAGCTGGGTGCTCGGAGGTAATTGCTTTCACACGGCTTTTACGGGCGAATCAGGACGAAGGAGCAGGAAGCCGCAGCAAGGATTTATGAGGTGGGACTCCCCTTCCCCCCGGTCTGCGTCTCCCTCCTCCTCTAGGTGGGGCAGAGGGTTTGCTGTGGCGGGGTAATGCGAATGCTCTGTTACCCCTTGTTAGCGTGAGGATAAAAGTCCGCCCCCCCGCGGGGTTGTAGCCACGGTGATAATTTAGACAAGCTGCCCTGAGCGGTTGCTCCAAAGCAGCCTATCAGAGCAGAAGTTTACTTAGCAAACTGCTTAACTCTTCCTGTAATATTTAAGGGGAGGTTATTTTTCGACCTTCCTGAGTTTAACTTTTATAGGGTCAGCTGTCAAGGTTATGCAGTTTGTTGTTCTCTACCTTCATCCCTCTCAAATTTTCGGTCTCACACGTTCCTTTTCCTCCTCTTTTCCTTGCTCTCCCCCTTTCCCTCCCCTCTCTCTAATGATTTCTGTGAGGCCTCAGGGGAGTGGCTGTTTGCAGACCGTTGGTGTTTTACTGCTGTGTTGTTTTAATGCTGTGATTATATATGTTTAGAAATGTGTTTATACAGATTTTCTTCAGGACACCCTTGACTTTTATTATTTTGCTGTTGATGTTTATGTTCTCGAGGCCGACTGGAATCTGACGCTCCATTTAGGTTTGCAGCCTAGGTTCGATTTTTCCCTCTCAAAGCATGTGCCTAGAACTATGCAGTTGCTGGGATTAATGTGCCTTTAAAGTTAGCAAATTTAATAATCTGGAATCTAAATAATATCTGCCACGTCTGTTGAGTTTAGTCAATTTCCTTTCTGCCATTCAGGACAGATTTAATTGGAGGTTGTTGCACATTTTCCATCAGAAAAAATAAAAATAAATACAAAGCTTTGCTCCTCATAAAATCAGACTGAAATAGCTGTGACAAAAACCACAACCTAGCCAGAATATAACACAGTCATGCATCCCACATTACCCATAATGCCTAGATACTGTGAAAATCTCTGTGGTTGAATTGAACTCACCGGTTTCGGCCAGAGTCTCTGAAGCCTTTGGCAAAAGGGTTTCTGTCAATTTTCAGCCTTGTAATCTGAAAAGTAAATAAATAAGACTCAGAAAATTGTTATTACAAAGTCTATGATAACATATACTGTGTAATGGAAGATTGTCTATGTCTATAATATTTTAATCAATCTATTAATAAATGCATTAACGAGCATAGTTTGGTGCCAACTGTGCTGTTTGTATATGTTTAATATATGTGGGAATACATGGATGTACTTGTTTGTTTCCTCGTACATGTATGTGATGTTACATGTGTGTGCATGTTACGTAATGTCTGTGGGGCTGCCATGGGGCTGTGGGTGGTGTTTAAGGCCAAGCTCTGTGACCCACATCCAAGGTGACTTTTATAGGCATCACCACCTTGTTCTGACTTTAGCCATCATGGGTTGTGGGCCAGCTAACCCCAGCTAACAGTCTACTTTAATGCACACACTGACTGGTCCAGTATAAAAATCAAGAACAAAACTCTTGCTTTTCTTCATTGAAGGATGCACTGAAGCACAGATAGCACTGAAATTTGCTCTGCAAAATTTAAAAAATATGAGATGCTCAAGCAATGTTGAAAAGTACATAAAAGATCAACTTAAGTGAGCAATGTCATTTTTTAACAATCGGCCCAATAAGTGTTTCCATGGTTGATCTAGTAAAACACCAGGGAAAACCGCGGGACCTTTCTCTCCCCCTCTGTTTTGCAAAACACACACGCACACACACACACACACACACACACATAGAATAAGTTGCCTTTAAAATGCACACCAGACCAAGGCGGCTTTGGTTTTAAGAGGAGATGCGGTTGTGTGGAGGTCAGCTGTACCTGTTGATTCTGATATGCTGTGACAGTGGTGAACACGGTCTCAGGGAAGGCTAAGGTGCGGGTGCCATCCCCAGCAGGGATGGTTCTCACGGGGGATAACTCCTCTCCACACTCCTTGCGGATTACATGGACTCGTGGCTGGTACTTGTGCATTGAGTGCAGAATGATCTGAATAGGGAAGGAGAGATTATTCACAGCTCTAAAACCTGATTGTTGGGTAATAAACATGCACACCTGGACACAGAGCGTGTGTGTCTTGTATGCTTGTCTGAAAGGTTATTTGAAATTACTCCACATTTTATATACTGTATATGTCTTTGATGTCTTTGATTTTTATTTTCTATTGCATCTCACACACAGCTAAACATTGAGTTTACCTGTGTGTGAGATGCAATAATTGATTGATTGATTGATTGATACATGGACTTGCACACATCAATATTTTGAGAATTGTAATTTTTTTTCTATTGTCGTCATATTTCTTGTAAATATTACAAAATCCAACAAATTTCAGTTGCAGGCCTATATTGTATTATAATATTGGACTTTTAATGATATAATTTACAGTTTGAAAGAATTCTCGAAGAGTAGTAAAGGTATTACAACAAAAGTTTTAAATCAAAATATTAGATTATATAGTCATATAATAACGGGGATAAAATACAATTTATTTAAAGAGGCCACAATGAGGTAAGTAGGTACTCATGGCTATCACAGACATATAATAGTATCACTTACATGTCCCTGGTCGTCCAGTTCGTTGTTGGTCAGTTTAAGTTTGTCGAAACTGACCACCTGACGCATCCACGTCTCTCCTGAGGCAGGGGAGTCCGGGTGGATGTACACTCTGGGTGGCACAGGAGAGTCCGCATTCCCCGCTACCATCCACTTGGAGCTGTGGTACACGTACCTTAAAATGTACACACAGGGGACGTGAATGAACAGAATGTCCCAACAGTTTGCAATGTTTAATCCTGCTATGCCCCATTTCACATGCACAACGGAAGAAATGCCAGAAAAAAAGACCAACGATCAGCAATAATCATATCGACAACTTTTTTTAAAGTTGAGAGAGAGGATTCAATGTCATGGGAATGTAACATAATAACTTTCAAAGTTGTAGTTTTCATTTAACTCAGAATTGTAATCTGATTGGACTGCTTTCAACTCACTGTAGAATTCATATTTAGGCTACTTATAGCCAAAAGGAAATATATACAGTGTATATATATATACTGTATACTGTATATACTGTATACATATATATAATTTTTTTAGAAACAAACACCTCTGATCAAGCATATTTTTCTTGTGTGCTACATTTTATAGCCTATAAAGATGTTAAACGCCAGTCAAGTGAAATGTCCACTTACATGTTAAAGCAGGCCTAAAGCTATTTTGTATACTATTTTCGGTATATGCAATTCAATCGATGTGAAACGATGTGAATACATAACGATGTGAATACATATCGTAGGCTGTAAGTCAAACGGCCTTCAGAAACAAACCTAATTAGTTGCTCATCTGGTTGAAAGTGTGTTCATCACCTGCTGTTAAGCGTTTGGTTGGCATAAAAAGCTGCAGACTCTCCTTCCTCCATGGCGCGTTGTCGCCTGCAGCTCTGTTGCGCGTGCACGTGAGCAGCACATTTCGGTAACGCACTGTAGCCTACTATATGTGGAATCTTGTCGGACTGACCGAATAACATGTCCTAGGATGTCACTCATCACTCCACCACGGCGCTAACATGTGTTTACATATAAACGGGTTTGAAAGTTTGAATAGACCTAAAGTGTGGCGTGCAAAGGCGAGGGTATTGATGCCGCTGCATAACGAGCTATTTGATTCTGCATTACAGCGGCTTTTGGTGGTTTAACCTTGTAGGTGGAGAGGTTAGGCCTCCAAAAGGCCATTTCCAAAAGGGACGGCAAAACCGCCGTGACGTCCGGTGCCAAGCGCCATTTGCGGAGACTGAACTTGTCTTGCACAATTTAGAAACGTTGGTTGTCCCAGGAACAATCTATATTAAGAATACATGCTAACGACAATGACTGTCACATTCCGGTTCTATAGGACACACACTTGCCCTGTATATTTTTAGCTTTGTTTGAATATAATTGTACTATACTATATTTACAGTTTATATGTACAGTTTGATATTTGTCAAATATCATTTTAATATGTATTTCATGATCACAAGGTTTATTTCACTGGCATGGAGTGTGAGTGTGTATGTGCGCGTGCTTTGTGCGTTTTACCTATAGCGCTTGTTGTCCACGGGGATTATATCCATGGCAATGTAATACTGCTGATGTGGGTCCAAGCCCGTAATCTTCACACGCATAGCGGGGAACATCCGCCTGACAGGAAAACCAAATAAATCATCTGCATTGGAGATTTCAGATCAGCTTTAGATCAGGATTTACAACACAGTAACTGCTTCCTAATCATAATAATGATAATAATAATAATAATAATAATAATAATAATAATAATAATAATAATAGCTTGTTTGCCATTATCATGACTATTATCTCATTAATAAATATGTTATCGTAAATATTTGTATCATAGTTGTTTTTTCCCAATGTAATGTAATTCCATACTTCAACAATCTGTGAGCACATCATTTTTCCCCTCCTGCTCTTACCGTCCAGCCTTGGTAATGATCATTTCCGTGCCAATCTCGTGGAACCGCTTCCACAGGTCTGATCCTTGCAGGTCCACGCGGGTGTCCTCCCCGCCGCCGGTTACCGGCGCCGTGCATAGTGCTGCGGGATGCGGGCTCTCCAGCAGTACGTCCTCGCTCTCTGCTGCAGGAAAGAGACGAGATGAACACGTTTTTAAGAGTAACAAAGCCATCCAGGCCAAGCATTAGTCGCTTGCAGAGCTATTGTGTCTTGTGACTCATAGAAATGGTTTCATGCCGAATACAAGATATTTTAAAATCACACAAACATTACAGCACTACTCCCGATTACACAGTCATGTAATAATCAAGACAAAATGCATAATGCACGTTTTGCACTTGACATATAGCCCAAATATGTTTTAAACTATTATATTATTAAGTACATTATTATATATTTATATTACAATACTATATCTTATAAATTGCCTCATTAAAGTAAATGCAGCAATTATGAAAAAAAAAATTCAGAAGCCCACGAAAGAGTCTTACTACACTACAAGTGATTAATTGCAGGGAGATAAAATGCTTATGGGATTACGTTCATTAAACTCATGCTTTCAGTACACTGACAACTCGGAATTGTATGTGTGTCTTTAAACTAAGATCACCCTACAGTTATTTCTATACAACATAGTATATTATGATATAGAAGAAAATGTGTAAATTAACTATAAACTCACAACTGAACTCAAATTGAAGTCCCAGTAGGATCTTAATGATGATTTTTATCGTGGAGTTAAATATGTTTTAATATCGAGGATATGTTTACAGGACACAATAGTAGTGTTTATGTGTCTCGCCGCTGTTGTTATTTGCGCTATTCAACACAGGCCTCGCCATTAGAAATGGATGGACATTAGACATGGGCCCAACGAGCCGAGCTCACACAAACACAAATCCTCAGCAAAGTGCATTTTAAAGGTGCATCACATACAAAACCGTAATTTGTAAGATTTCTGTAGACCTCTTAGCATCCTTTCCGTGTATACGGTGCTAATTAGCGTGTTTATGATTGCAACACAACCCATAAATCGCCTCACATTGGTCACGCTCGCACCACTCACATTTTGCATTTACTAGACCGGGGCCATGATATGATATCACATTTCTACTGTGAGGCTCTGACCAGAGGCTATCATTGTTTGGGTTTATAATATGGATATTTTGCGATTTATTACTGAATTCTCAGCAATAAGCAGAAGAGAGCATCATGATCCTGATGAAAAACAAAATGCTGCTTCTTGTAAAAAATGTCAGCGAGTAGGTATACCTATTCGCTGACATTTTTTATAATGTATGCTCTTATAAGAGCATAAATCAGTCATTTCTTTTAAAAATAGTAGAGTAGGCTATCGAATGCGCAGGGCTTATTCAATTTGAAGCTGTTTACCAGTGAAAACAACAACAATGACAAAGTGTACGGCTCAATGCAACACGCATGGGCACTTTGACTTTATAGCCTTTAGTATTGGATGCTAATAAGCTATATTTGGTAGACTGATGTTGCCATTTCAAGGGCCTATTTTATGAACTTTGTTATTTATTATTTATTTTAGTAAATTATTATTATCATTATTATGATTTACTTACGGGATCCGTCACTTGTACAATCTGCCTCGCTGCCCCGGTCACTGGTGCACGTTCTGTCGGCTCGCGGCCCGGGGCTCCCTGTTAGATCAGCGACATCAGTTCCGTCATCGTAGCCGGGGGATTCGGCATCCTCTCCGGCCGTCCGGCGTCTCTTTTCTGCTCCGATCAGTGCCTCTACCGAGAACGCGTGTGCCTTGACACTCAGTGTGCACGGAGTTCGCCGCTTCTCTGCCATTTCTCTCGGTCTCGGGAAAGAGGAACGAGTGGAAGGAGACGGTGTCACGAGTATGCAGGGAGCAAGAACAGTTCAAAAGACAACTCAAGGATTCCACGATGACGGTCCAGGGCTTCTGGTGCGACGGTTTGTCCGTCCTCGAGCCGGACAGCGGAGGAAACACACGGGGGCGGGACGAGTTGTAATAATGTCTCCGTTATCCTTGAGAGCTGTGCAGACTTTTGGAGAGTGTCAACAACCGGAGTTTAGAGGAGAGACGGAGAAGGGGACCTGTCAATCACAACACTGAGCAACCAATCACGAGTAATCACAGCCCCCCGGAACTTTGTTCCTGGTCCCGCCCGCTGCTGTGGGGGCCGCTCATGCCGCCTTATGAGGTAAAAGTAGAGCTGGTGAATGAATCATGTCTTCAGGTGACGGAGAGCGAGGAGCGTCTCGCTCGGGCATTGCGCGCATTTTCACACACCGGCACGACGGCCACTTGTGGCCCCCGTCCTGAAAAGTAGCATTCCTTAAAGCATGCCACGGTTTCACATGTCTCAAAACATGTTGTGCATTCTATAATCATTACAGAATACGTTTGGTTAGCCCCATATATTCACCGGTATGTGTTCAAATATTGTTTAGTGTTTTCCTTTTTGTGGCCTTCAAAAGACGTAAACAAATCTGAATTCTGAACTCGGTCTATGAGTGTGAGCCATTGAGCGACCCCACTGTTTCAAACAGCAGAAACAGCCCCACACAACACAAGCTCTGCTTTATGAACATGGTTTAACAAGCTTTATTAGATAAGAACACAACACACATTATATGGGTTGGCAAAAGTGTATGTAATGAAATATTGTAACATATACTTGACTTCAAAGTGCAAACAAATTCCAGTCCACTGAGACACTTTTATGAAAATAACACCATCGCTGAGAAGCTGCATGCACTAAAATACAACTATCAGAACTTGGTGACAATTAGTCAGACTATAGGTTTACAGTGCATGTTGTTATAAAAATGATTCCAACGTGCACTTGAATCAGTCAATGAAGTGAACGCATGATTAAGATATCATAGTTACAGGATCAGAGAGGTGTAGACCCAAACAACCAGCTGAAGGGAGTGGAGAGATGAGTTGGAATCTCTCCGTATATGTTTGGATTTAATCTTCCACACTTTAAAAGCGGCGTAAATAAGCGGGTGGTCACGCGGGGAATGCGAGCTGGTGCGGGTGCGTGGAGGCTATAACATGTGGAGGGGGAGAACCTGGCTATAAATAACCAGGGCAGTGAGGCTGTGCGCACGTGCGGGTTTCTAAACTGATTTCTTAAGAACCCGTATACAGATTCAAATAAAACAATAATATGTAACACGAATATGCAGGATTTAGCATAATAATGGACCAGCCGATGCCTTAATGCATCTGCTAATTTCTTACTTAGCAACGTTTATTTAGATCCTTATTTAAATGTTGACAGAACAATTTGATTTGATTCGCGTGCTATTAGTGACATCAGGCTTTCACTATTATTCGAAGTTTCCGATTTACTTCAGCGCGTTTCTTCCGCTAAGATCACCGCAAAGCTCAAGGCCTCTCGTGGCTTGATGGTTAAATAAACAACACGTCGCCATCGTTTGTTGGCATAAATTCAATGTAAATGATTGGACGTCATGGGGAAGGTCCCTACAAATATCCGCGTGGGTTATCAGATCAAAATCCTCGTGTTTCACTTCCCGTGGGCATTTAAGAATGTCAAATTCAATTGTTTACGCTCTGTTTGAAATGTCGATTAAACACAAGCCTATAGCTGTGTGACTTATCTTGCCATTGTAAATAGCCTCTAAACTTTCAAAACTAAAATGTTTGCTTTTTAACGTGCTATGACAATAAAAACTGATTATTAAAAGGAGAACTTTTAGTCGTACAAAGTGAATTATTATCAATTTCCTCTTCAATACATTTAAGTGAGTCACGTTTTACAATTAGCCTACAAAGCAAAATCCTAATCCTTTCAATCATATTTTAGCTAAATAACGTTTATTTCTTGTAATGAAATATGACTAAATTGAGGTGTACGCGGGATTTTTAGCTTTATAACCATCGTTAACAAAATGAAGGGCATTCGTCATGTTCAAATTGTATCATAAGTATAAAATTCTAATTTGGTGGAGAGAGAAAAATAAAGTTTTATCTGATATGTGTTGACATCTTGGAAATTACAGTAAAAAATAAGAAATAACAATAATAAAAAAAAACAATAATTATTGCAATTATATTTCACAATGTATTATCTATTTTAATGAGATACAACAAGTAAATCATATATAAACATTCACCTCTCGTGGCCTTTAACAGTTTGGATAAATGGTTCGTTCAAACAGAACTCTGGCTCTCATTAGGCCGACCACTTTAATCATTGCTGTTATTTCATTACAATATGAACTGTTGGTTCCAATCAGTCCTCACCAAGAAACACATTTTCGTTGTAACGATGTCTAGTGTAGCTTGGTTTTGTAATAAAATCACATTGTTTTTGTAACTAATTATTTTTGATGTTGATTCTTATTTTCTGTCGTTAGCAGGTGCACTGGTTCATGCATCTTAGAGAAGACTATGCCATCTGCCGTTGGCGTGATGTTTAATAGGCTTACGTTTATAATATTATAATAATGTCCAAGATTGATTATGGAAGGATCAGCCTGTGAAGTAACACAACCGTCCAGGAATACAGCGATACAGAAACGTTGACTCACTAAAGCGTCCACAACTTGTGTTGTTTACAGGTATGACTCCACATAAAGTCATTTTTGACATCGTATACTATCTAACATCTAAAACAATATAAGGCTTATATATGGCGAAGATGACCGGGATGGCAATGGGATTGAGGAATAAGTTTATATCGGCCTATAAATATACACTAAGTCTCATTCTCTGTATCGCAGTGTTCCTCATTGGATGTGGAAGGCCATGGCACGCGCTCTAGGCTGTCAACGCAGTCTGGCCGCTCCGTGCATCGTCTGTGATCACCGTTTTGTACATCAGCAACTGGAAAACAACACCATGGGCCATCATGTATATCTCTCAGGCTGTGTAAGACCCTCTTATAGTCTACTGCTGTGTCAGTATTCCGACTCTCAATACGTCAGCACCTGAACTTGATTGGATGAACTATTTGAACAAGGTAAAGTAAGTATTAGCGCAGCTTTTAATCCGATATGGACAATTTTAAATATGTTATTTTTTGTTTAAAACGTGTAAATATTCAGGAGAACGAGCTCCAATGTTGCTTTGATTTACAGCCTCAAACCAGCATTGTGTGCGATATTAAACAATCAAGTCTGGACCACTAAGACATTGAATTCAATTCATTTATAACGAATTCCTTTTTAACAGATAAAACTCCAGTTGAATAACAGGCCTATGAATATTTATTGAGTCCTATGATTATATACAAGGCCCTACATTTTTATAATGCGATTTATACAGCCGAAATTAAACGATCACGTGCAGGTGCGCGTGTACCATAGCGTTTTTTAACGACTTTGGACTTAATTCAGACAATCAGAGCCCGGCCCATTGTTTCAAGTGTAGTTTAAAAAATCCATTTTGTCACTCTGACGGTAGGCGTTAACAACCACGCACTGAATAGGCTGTTTATTAAACATCTTTGACATAATTACCTGTGAGCTTTGAAGGGTATAGGGTAAAAATACCGTGGCAGGGGAGTCTGGGTAATATATTTTTAACAGTTATTTAGCGCATGCTAATGGGAACGTGGATCACTGCCAGGGCTTTTATGGCGGAAGTGGCATGAGCGGCGGGGAAATGCGTGCGTGTGTGCGCGCGCGCGCGAGCGAGCGCGAGATAGAGAGAGACAGAGAGAGACACACACAGTGGTAATGTAGGCTGTACAGTTTTGTAATGTGCCATTTTGATCTTTCCCGAGGACAGGGTTTAGAGCTATGCTCTGTAGAGAGATGTAGTCAAACAACAGGAGGACGTAGTAAGATATACAGAGAGAAATGCAGCACCCAGCTTCAGCCATCTGCCTTCCTCCTCATTCAGGGGTCCCCCATCAACCTTGCAGCCAGTCCTGGGGGGCCGAATCCCAGACATGAACTGCCGGATCCCCATATGGCTCCGCTGGGAAAGTCATAACTTGAACTCCATGTCTACGGTGGTTGTGCCAACACTGCAATGCTCACAGCCGCCAGGGCCCCTAAGAGCATATCCTGCTTATGCTGGCCCAGAGTCACTCGTCATCCAAGTGAAGTGACCCCTGCTCTCTTTCATAAAGTTAACCTTCCATTGAAAACCTGGTATTTATTGATGCGCTTGATAGGAATTGATGGATATATGACATTTATTGAATTTTTTACGAGCCGGTTCTGGTCGTGACGCCGTTTATTCAGGCCTCTGTGCGCCTCGGATGTTATTCAAGTTGAACTCCTGCCCTGGCTGAAAATGCTTCTCTCTCTCACTCACTCACTCACTCACTCACTCACACACACACACACACACACCCACAAACACACACACCCACACACACACACACACACACACACACACACACACACACACACACAC